TGGTGCCTAGCACACCGAGCCTCGGGCTTGGTGCTAGGCACTTGGGCATCGATGGGCTATGTGTTATGTGATTTTGCCATTTTAATTATTTATTTGATTATTTTATTTTAACGAGGCTAGGCCTCGGTTCCTCCGGCACTTGCAAAATAATTTGGCAAAATTTGGGTTAACCGACTTCATTAATTGGATTAATTAGGTTGGATGTGGAATTTAGTGGGAGCTTCGTTAATTGCTTGAGCTAATTTTATTGTATTTAATCACATAATCGGTTAATAACTTTGACTAGTTTTAATTAGGCGCGTTAATTGGATTAACCACCTACGTTAGTTACTAGTTTGCGCATGTTATGCATTGTTACTTGTTTTTTGTTGTAAAATGCATGGGGCATTCACATATAGTGAATGGATGAATGGAATGTATATTTTATCACAGGTTTTGTGAAAATGGCAACTAGTGGGCCCGATTAGGATAATAAATACGGACTGCGATCCGTATGTATTTTTGTAAATCTAAATATAGTCTGTGTACCGTTGCGTATTTTTGTACCTTAATATTTAGATTAGTCCTAGTCGTAATTACTACTAATTGCATATTTGGTGTATATGTCTCGAAGACGGCGTTTCTAAGAAGACAAGCTAAGAGGATGCAATGAAGACCCTTGAAGACTCGAACACTCAAGGGGTCATGCTAGTTGCCAAATGTATCTTTTACTTATGTTTTCTATATATAGTTATGTTTATATATGAATGAATGGTATGTTAGATGCATGTTTAGGATTTCTAATGTTGCGATGATTAATTATGTTCACTTAAATCAACCAACATAGAAACCCTAGGTCCCTATAATATTGAACCAAATTTGCCATTCCAAGAACAATACTTACCGAACTAATGCGCGTAGTGATGGGCTACGCCAAGGCGAGGCATCACTACTTCACTATGAACGTAAGGTATACTAGGTATACAAGTTGGTCTTGGTTAAGATCAACGATATCAGTAAGGAGTCCTTAGATGTCGTGGCAATGTAGATAAAACGTCAAGGAAGCATTAGATGTGAGGTTTTATCGAACAAGAGTAGCTTAGAGCTATTAGCAATTGGAATGCTTACCCTAAAATATTAAGTGTTAAGACAAGCCAATGCATGCTTAATCACTTTTTGATTTTTGGATCTTGGATCGTTATATTCTCGCCTAAAAGGGACACATTTTAATGCGTGGATAAGACACGTAACAAGATTGAAAATTTGCATGTATGCTTTAAATTTCAAACTTATTATGTTAGTATCTTGATAAATGGTTATAGTTTGCACTTATATTTGTAGAATTCTAAATCAAATTATATTGTTTTCAATGATTGGTAAAGGAAATCTTTGAGGATAGTTCTCAAAGAAAGGAAAAGCATTTATAAAATACAACTCTCATAAATGACTTTTATAACTAAAGTCCGAAAGGACGGTTGGATATCATGTATTCAAAATACTAGGTAGTTTTGATGAACATGAAGTATTGAGTTAAAAAAAAAGGAAAAAAAACACTCAAATTGTCAATAGTTGACAACCAACATATCTTTTCGCTTCATACACTAATGAGTATGACTCATTGATGTAGTAATTCAAGCATGAATTTAAGAAAAGATGGATCTTTGTTTTATGGCGCATTAGATGCTTAATTATGCCTAACAAAGTATAAAAGTCAAAACACTTAAAGAAATTGTTCTTAAAGTTATGAGATGATATATGATAAGAAATATAGGAAACAAGGAACAAAGAAATAGGATAAGATTCCTTTTCTACCCATGAGTTCATGTTATTGTAGTTAACTTAGCAACTTGTTATCTTCACAAGTATCGGATACTTCTTGAGTGTTGCACTTTGAAAGTGACGTCAAACCATTGAAGTTAAGCTAAGTTATTGACTTACAAGCTTAGAATGAAGCAAGTAGTGCTACATCAGTTGTAAGGTCATTTGTTCTGTTTAAAGACCTTTTATTTAAGCTAAGGCTAGAACGAATAATGGTTATTATGTTTCATAATCAGCAAGCAATCTGTTTACACACGGAAAATTAAAAGTAAAAGAGCAATAGTTGCAGGTTTTATTTGAATAACATGGTTGTCTAAGTCATGAGTCAAGAATGCTAGATTATAAACGAACATTTCCCTAACATAAAAACTCACAAAGTTCAAGTCATCGACATGATTTGTGTTCCAAACATCTTTAGCAATGTCACATCGACAAGAACGCACTCAAGGCTCTATTAGATAGACTCTTGATAGTTGATCAATTCGGAATCTTTCTAAGACAAGCAAGTCTTACTTGTTGAAATCGACAAAGAAAGGAGCTATTGTGCTTGGTATAGACAATTGACTTCGTAATCTAAAGAGAATTCCATTACTTCAATGTCTCACAAGAATTTGAAAGAATATGGCTATATTCATCAAATGTGAACAAACTGGACCTTTTATTTAAAGAAAAAGAGAGTGAGGGTGGAACTGTGGAAGAAGATGAAGGAACTTAGTTAGGTATATAATATATACATAGATATTATGGGGTACGAAATGACATATTGGTTTAAGGTATATTTTAAGGTTTAGGAGATGAAAAGACTATTTAATTGTACTCCATATGTTTATGTAATGTGTACTAATTAGTTCAACTTTATTTTATTATGGTGGAAATAAAACACTTTAATTTCTTAATTAAAACTGTGTGTTAGGGAATGCATGAAGACTTTAACATTATATAATTTTTTATTTTAATTTTTATAAGAGAATTTAAAAAGAAAATTTAGATTAAATGAGGTGACATGTGGCATATGAATGATTTGTGATTTGTGTTTTTATGCACTAAGTATGGATATAGATTTCTTTACAAAAAAAAATGTTTTTTGCTTTAAATTCTCTTATTTTTGAAAAAAAAATGAAAAAGAAATGTAAGAGACTTTATAAAGAAAATAGAACACCATTTAAAGTTAAACTTATGTTTGTTCAAGACTTTTTTTTAAGTTAGCATCTTAGTTCAATTTCAATATTTTTTAAAGAATAACATACACTACCGATGAAAGAAATTTTAACATTGTTTTACACCATCAGGTTTTTTAGTGTATTGATTTGATTGACACATAATTTTAGGTTCTTGAGTTAATGGAGTAAAATATTGTATAACTAAGGTTCGTTAAGGAATTAAAAATTACACTTGTAGGAAGTGAAAATAAATAAAAAAAAGGTAGGAGTGGAAATCATGTGATGAGAGAGATATATATAAAATTAAAAAAAAAAAGCATCTAAGAGTGAATATAATTTTTTGAGGGAATTTTTTCAAAAGAGATTTACAAATGCAGATGATGAGAATCGATCTTATGATCCCCTAAAACTGGGAGGAAACTATAACCAACAACTAAGCAATCCCTCACTTTCATTTTTTATTTTTTATTTTTATGAAAATCGAGCCAAAACCATTAAGAAAAACTGGAGGGATAAACTAAAATCGATCGAAAGTTTAAAGAATTATTCCGTTTGTTTTAAAATAAATGCTCCAGGCCATTTTAGCATTTTCCAATGTGAAACTTTAAAAAAATATCTTTAATTGTTGGTAAATTTAAATTACAATAAGTTAATATTCAAAAACTATACATTGATCGAGATGATTCTAACACACTAAATAATAATATGCGACAAATATTCAATCTTATATTTTAAGCATCAATAGAGGTCAATGTAATGTAAGTGAATAGTGCAAAAGATAAATTAGGACATTTGCTTTGAAATAGAGGAGTAAAGATTATTGGCCATTGTATACACTTGTACTCTGTCCATCCTTATTTTTTGCCTCATTGTCAATACTTAGGGTGAAACTTTAATTACTTTGACCATCAATTGTCGTTAATCTATAAGATTTAATCCTCCTGTTTTGTTTATAAAGTAACACGTTTCTCCTAGGCACATATGTCAATGCAAACTTTGACTAATATATACTACCTCGTTTCTTAAACTAATTAAATCATGTGCAATGGATGATTATCAAATAATTACAATGAAAATAAATGAATAAAAAAAAGGTATAATATACTATTAATGATCGATTCACCAAGTATTAAAAAATTATGAAAAAAAATAATATTAAAATAATTAAAAAAAAAACATGCAAGAGAAAATAATTAAATTGTTTTAATAGGTAATTTGACATTTCAGGAAGTTTGATTTTTATTTTATATAAAGTGAAAGTCATAAGTTGGATATATAAAGTGAAAGTCATAAGTTGGACTAGTATTATTTTCTTATAACAATGATTTTATTTTTTAAAGCAAGTAATTTTGAAGGGAAATTTTGTAATAATATGTCGCCAAGTGTCCTTTTTTAGTTTTGCTTTTAGTAGTATGTACTGTAATAGATAATTGACAAGCTTGACTTTTTTTCACTATTTATATACTAAATTTGACCATTTTTTTAGTAACATATAAACAAACAACTATTATCATGAAATATACAAAAGATAATGATATAAAGTTTTATAATATCAAATTTTTATTATTATTTAATTTTATATATTTAAGGTCAAATTAGTGCATTAATGTGTGTGTCAAGTTTAATTGTGTCAATTTTTTAGGAACAGATGGAGTAAAATTATAACAATTGTATATATTATATTCATTGAGATTATTTCAACAAATACCCACAAGATTATATTTTTTTCGTGTATTTACTAACATTTATCAAAGTGGATTAGGTGAATAGTTCAAAAAGTCAAAACGTTTCACTTAAAAGAAAAAATACAAAGGGAGTAATCTTACGTGATCTTGTTGTATTTGTCTTATTGTATATTTCGCTAATTTGGTTCTAGTTATAGTCAATACTAATAAATTTTAAGTTATTATATAATTTTTATTCATATAGAATTAGATATACATACGTTTTAAGATACGTTTTAGAGCCTGAAAAAAGTCAAGTGGAAAAAAATTAAGATTAAAAAGAGTACATAACTCTAAACAATATTATTTCACATATCATATGACTATTCATTAATGATATTATTATTTAAAAAATAAAATAAAAAAACATAAACTCGAGCCATAGCATGCAAGAGAATCTAGTATAGAGAAACGAGAAGCACCCCCAAAAAAATCTAAGCACCCCTCAAAATATCTACCACAAACAAGCTTACACAAATCGACACGTTTTAGCTAATAACAATGTCTTCAACCATACTTCCCGAACTTTCTACACAATCATACCACTTTTTGTCCCCCAAGATATTTTCTCTACTCCTTTCATTTTCTAGATTCTCTTTGATCATTCTTCATCTTTATATATATCTCAACCAATCTCCAATCTTCTAATATCTACTACTATTAATCCCAATTCTTTTAATAATTTGATAAACTAAAGTACAACTTCTGTTTTAACCCTAAATTAATTGGAATTTTGTTAGTTTATTGAGAATTGTAATGGAGATTGGGGTTACGTCGGAGTCGTATTACCGTGTTCTTGGTTTAAGTAACGCTTCTTCTAATGAGGAGATTCGTCGCGCTTATCGCAAATTAGCTATGGTATGTTATTCATACTTAATTACTTGTATTAAGTGTTACGAGTAGATATTAAAGATTTTGCGACGTTTTTTGTATCTATTTTTATGATTTATCAATATTGATTTGTTTATTTGTGTCTGATTTTAAAGTTTGAGGTAATGATTAGAGTATAAGTTTAAAAGATTAATGTGAAACTGTTTGGAATAAATTAATCTAATGATTTATATGTAAAAAAAATGATTTAAACTTTTATTATATAGAAGTATATAGTGATTATCGACAATGTTATGCTATATTGCTTATATATTATACTCCCTCTGTCCCTTAATTTTTGCCCCAATTTCCTTTTTTGTCTGTCCCTTTAATTTTGCTCCCTTCTATTTTTGGACATATGTGTCCACATTTCTACTCTTACAACCACCCCATTAACCGTATCACTTTTCTCTTTCATCACTTTTTTCCAACCAAAACTTAATAAAGTAACATTACATTATGGGGTAAAATATAAGGGACGGAGGGAGTAGTGTTTTTTGTGATGTTCGATTTTGTAAAACTCTGATTAAGTAGTTTCTCTAATTTATAATTGAGTTTAAGAACTATGTTCGAGTAGTTGTTGAAAGGTGTAATATTTTTGTGTACATCTAATAGTCACGTCAGTGTTATAAATAACGGTAAATTAGAGACAGTAATTTTGGGCAAAGGCAAACAATTTTTAGCTAATCTTTAATTTGAGGATAAGTTTTCTAGCTATAATGTAAAAAATGGCCTTCAATGTTACTTTGGTATTAAGTATGATAACTCGTTTTGTATCCGATATAAATAACTGTGAATTTGTGATGAGAATGATTTGAGTGTTATTCCCTTAGATGGTTTGTTTGTTTGTTTGTTTGGGTTTTTTGTTTGATTTAGACGTTTTGACTTTACTTTTATTCACAAGTTTTACTTCGACTAATGTTATTGATTTATACATAAGAAACGTAGTCATGTGAGATTTTGTTTGAATTGTTACGAAGTATGGTCCGTGAACATTGAGTTTTAATTATTTTCATTTACTATCAATAACTAAAAAATATTAATGGTCAAACTTCGTGTTTTTGGATCTGATCCGATTGACTCAATTTGAAACTGAACCGAATAATATTAGTGAAAATTTTAATTTAAACATAATAATCTAGCATGATTCAAATTTGAAATAAACGTAATCTGACTGACTTCACCAAACCTAATCTAATTACCCAAATTGACACCTCTTGGTCAAAAATTTTCATTGACAAGTGTGAAAAAGTCAAGATAGTAAAATTAAAAAAATAAACTTGAGGTAGTACGTGTATTAAGTAAATTCTTATGTCTTTAATAATGTAACCTCATCCTTAAACACAATTTAATTTCGTAATTGTCCATTACTATCTAGTACCAATCCCAAATGGTAATGGACTAATGGATGGTAGTGAATATTGGTAAATAAAAAGATACGAAGTATAACTTGGGATGAACTATCATTACCATGGAAACTGACATTGATTTTGCATACAAACCTATATACTTGTACGAAGTACTAATTTATCCCATTACCATTTACAACCATCTATTATCGCTTACGAAACGAGCTGTTAAAGATTGTACTTGTTAATTTTTGGTTCATTGAAAGAAATATGTGTTAGGAGAGTTAAATAATGATTATTTGATTTTGTTTATATTGCAGCAATGGCATCCTGACAAGTGGGCAAATAATCCGGCCATGCTTGTAGAGGCTAAGAAGAAATTTCAGAAAATCCAGGAGGCTTATTCAGGTACTATGGTGTAGTATATATTTTGTTGTTCCTGCTCAATTTAGTGTTTGCAAACATTAGAAATGCTATGAAGGTGATTTTAACTGAAAATCGTGTATTGGTTTAGTGTTGTCAGATCCCACAAAGAGGACATTGTATGATGTAGGCATGTATGATCCCATTGGAGAAGTGGATGAGGTATGGTACAATGATTTCTTATTCAAATTAATGTTGTAGTATACAAGTATGCTTAGAGAGGAATGTATTATTTCGTGGGAAATTGTGTGAATACTAATTGGTTCCAGGATACTCCTTAGTCCTTGCGTTCCTCTTGTTTTAAGCATAGTATTGATTCATTCTCCTTGTTACTTCAAATGTGTGTTCATATGAATTGGCTGGTTTCGAAATATGATTATGTTCTGAACAAAGTGAATTTTAATGTGGAAACAGGGGTTCTGTGATTTTATGCAAGAATTGTTGTCACTTATGTCTCAAGTCAGAGAAGAGGTAAGCACTAAAACATTTTTTTTTGTCTGTAATTACCCTTGAATATGTGCACGAGTTCAACATATTGATGCTAAACTTGTGTACAAGTTCTCCTTTCCAATTTGCAGAAAGTAAAACATTAAGATTTTTGTAGAAAGTAAATGCTTTGACAACTAATTGAAAATGTTAAGTTTGTGTTTTGGCAATCTCTCAAGCTTTTTCATTCTGAATATGCAATTCTAAAATTACTTGTTCTGCATGATTAATGCCCTTAACCTCAACATTATCCATTGACGTGATTAGCTGGATCACCGCCAGATAAGTGCAAGGCCAATAATAATTTTCATATATGATCCGATTAATTAAATACCCAAATCTTATCAGTATCATGAACTCACTAGGAGCTGCAGTTAAGATTGGTTGGGGGGGGGGGGGGGGGGACGAACTAGTAGCTTCAGAAATCAGTTCACATGCTTAACTTCTGGTCTATTGCTTATCTTTAGGCTCACCAACCATATCATATATCTTGCAATGACAATGACAGTCAGTGTTTCTAGTCAGATCTGGCTTGATAATCAGTAAGTGTGAATCGAAAACATAACTTCATTACACATCATGTATGAAATAAGAAAAAGCTTGAATATGCTAGTAGAGACAAATAATTGAGTACTTGTTGATCTTTTGGTCTAGATTTTTGTTGCGTGACTTATTCCCTGTGTTCAATTATATGTTTGTAGAAACTTGTAGATACTTGCATTGCAAATTGTTTGATTACTTCATAATTCTGATGTATACATTTTAATGTTCACAGGAAAAATGCAATAGCATGGAGGACCTTCAAAGTATGTTTGCCGAGATGGTTCAAGGATTTCAATCGCCTCAATGGTTCTCTAGTCCTTCAGTAGCCAGCAACCAAGGATGCTCTGGCATATTACAGCAAGATGCTCAGTCAATTAGACAGGATTCCACGACAGCTAGCTCAAGTTTTGGGGTGTTTGGAATGAGCAGTTATTGTAGGTAGATGAAACCTAACATCTTGTTGAGAGCCTAGCTAAAGGGGAAATTTGACTGTGATTGCTCATATACAAGTACGAAATTGAGCATTGATGTCTAATATAAACCCGAAGACTGAAAAAGATCGCTGTAAAGTTGACAGCGCTATATCTGCAAAGTCCAAAACATTTGTTTTTCAGATGGTCAATCAGTGTTTGGTTTCTTGTACACCCTTATACGATACATAGGAGTAATCTTGTTTTGTTTTGCCTTCTCTTAAGTGCTCAGTATGTGATGAGCTAGACTTTGTGCAGTCTTACAAACGTGAATCTCCTAAACGATTATCTTACTCTGCAGTATTTGTAACCTCCGAAAGAGCTTGACAGTTTTTGGATTTCTCATTAGCAAGGATTGTTTCAGATTGCTTAATTTCCATAAAGTAGTGTCTGCTTCACAAGGAAGAGATACTGATTCATCTTTCGCAACATCTTCATTATATGTTGTATAGACTCTTGCATTCTTGTGTCCTCGTCAGCAAAAATGTAAACTTTTTTTTTATTTTTATTTTTTTTTATTTTTCAGGAATGATGTAAACTTGTTGTCTATGGTAGACCTGGCAAATGGTTCGGGTCGAGTCAATTTCAGGTCAGCAAATATTCGGGTCGGGTTAATTTGGATTTCGGGTCAACACTTCGGATTAACTTCAGGTCGGGTTAAGCTCGGGTCGAGTCAATTTTTAGGGCCAATTTTCGGGTTAATTTCGCGTCAGGTTAATTTCGGATCGAGTCAATTCAGGTCTGGTTAATTCGGGTCGGGTCATCAAAATAAATTCACTTAAAAAAATAGTTGGAAAAATAAAGTAAAATCGTGAGTATCTATTACAAAGAAAAGAAAGAAGCCCTAAAATAAGTAATTCATCATTTCACCGTATTCACTTCAATCGGGTCACTTCGGATCGAGAAAATTTGGATCGAGTCACTTCGGGTCGGGTCGATTCGGGTTAATCAATTCGGATTTAAATCGGATCGAGTCACTTCGAGTTTCGGGTCACTTCGGGTCGTGTCAAGTTCGGGTTTCGAGTCAATTCATTTCGGGCATCTGGTCATGTTCGAGTCAACTCCATTTCGGGTCGGGTCGGGTTAGTTCGGGTTTGGGTCATTTTCGGGTCACAGGTCAGGTCATTCGGGTCACAGGTCGGATCAGGATTGCTAGGTCTCGTCTATGTTGTGGTGTTGTGGAAAAGAACTAGGCAAATCACTTTTTTACTAGATTACTCCCTTAATACATTGAAAGGTTTTGCGGCTCATTTATTAAGAATGTAATAAGGGTGGTAATAAGAATGAATTATAGGCGCGATTTCGCAAAAGAGGAAGTACGAGGGGGTCAATTGACCAGATTGGTAAATAAATAAAAAAACCCTAGCGACAATTTGGTAAAAATAACTCCGGCGTCAATATGGTAAATAAAAAAAAAAAAAAAGTTAATTCCATGCAACAATTTGGTAAAAAAATTAATCTCAGGCAACATTTAGGCCAAAATATCAAATTTTTTCGACAAAATCTTCAAATTTTCTAATTTAATATATTATTGTGTTTTTTCTCATTTAAAAATTAAAATTAATGTATCTCCTTTTATTTTGCTTATAAATCTCAATATCTAATTTATTTAAAAAAAAATTCGTTAATAAGGGGTAGGAAAATTAAGTGAAAAATAATATTTACACTTCCTTCAATAAAAAAAAATTACATAATAATTTTCTTCAAATTGTTAATTTTGAAAAAAAGGGGTTAGAAAGTTAGGTAAGAAACCACGAAAAACGAACTAAATTAAGCATAGGCAGGTAGTTTGTTGGAAACTTTTGTTTATTTTGGGTTATTGTTGTATGAGATGATTTTTCTTTTACCAAATTGTCGTCGGAGTAATTTTTTTTACCAAATTTTCGCTAGGGGTCTTTTTTATTTACCAATCTGGTCAATTGGCCTAATGAGGGGTAATGTTCCTAGTAATGAAAATCCATTTACGTATGGTTTTTTTTTTTTTTTTTTTCCTAATTTATAAAATCCTTATAGTGGATCACAAATTTTTATATGTGGTTGGCCACATCGTGTGGCCAGTCATCATGTGGGTTATTTCGTTACTGTTATAGGGTTACTTGATTAGTATTATAGGTGTTATTTCGTCAGTGTTATAGGGGTTACTCGGATAGCGTTATAGTGGTTTTTACTTGGTCAGTATTACATGGGTTACTTGGTCAGTGTTATAAGAGTTATTTTGTTGTTTTACAAGCGGTCATATGGTGTAGCTAGCCGCATACAAAACGTACACATAATGGATATGTACCTTCATTTCAAACACAAATAATATGTACTCTCTCCGTGTTTAAATAAATAAAATGTTTTGAATTTCACGGAGTTTCAGGAAAGTTAGTTGAATTTATTAAATAATAGGTAATAGGGTATAAGTTGTGGAGAGAGAAGAGAGTAAGGGGTTTTGTGGGGCCAATTAGTTAGTAGAGGGTAATACCCCGTAATTTTGAGAATTATTTTTCTTAATTATTTTAATTCAAAAAGGGTATTTTAGTAATTTTATATTATTTGAATATAAGAGCCAAAATAAGAGTTCAAATTTAGGCGCCAAAATATTGGAGTAGATATAATTAATTTTATGACTTTCAGATTTTATAGCCTTATTTAATTATATTTTGATTTATTAATGTCTAATTTTATAATTTATCACATAATAATATTCCAAAATTTATTGAACTAAACTACGCCATTTATTTTAGTGATTTATCAATTTATAAATTAATTTTCAGATTTTATTTATTTAATTTTGGATTTATGGATTAATTAAATCTAATTATTAATTATCATCTTAAAAATTCTGAAAATTAATTATTAATTATGGAAATTAATTTTTTGATTTTCAAAGTGATTTTATCTTTTGAAATAAATATTTAATTAATTATTTTGAAATATCTTGAGTTTTTTACAATATTTTGACCGTGCAAGTCAAAATTAATCATTTCCATTTTATAGAACTTACCTAGCTTCAAATTCTTGGTCATGATAAAATTTAAATGATATCATATTTATCCTAAATTTTTAGATTTTATAATGTTATTTTCGGATTTTTAATTAATTAAGGAAAAATTGCCATTAATAATACATCCTTGTCCCGTTTTCTTAAAATAATACTACTTGAATATTACAACCTTTGGGGGGGTCTTAACTTTAAATAAGACAAAAAACTTATAAACCTACTAAACCGGCTACCTATGACACATGTCGTCGTGTAATTGGTCTGAATATTAAAATTTGATTTTCTTAAATAGACAATTTATATAAAACAAATAAAATTAAAAAAATCCTTCCCAACTCCCTTCCCCCGCCAGCCATGGTGGGCATCCGACCTCCCCCAACCCCAAGCCTACCTTCACCCACAACCCCGACAGCCTGACCTCCGACCACCCCAACTTTACCCTTCCCCAATCCCCACCCAATCGACCGACTGTTGAATTTACCTTCCTCGCCCAACTAGCTGTGAAATTTGCGGAATTTGAAGGGGTTTCGATAATGGACGGAGGGGGTGGAATCGGTGGTCGGGAAGGGAGGAACTAGGGCTGCTGAGGTCGGGAAGAAGAAGAATTGGGGCTACTGTGGTCAGGATGGGGAGAAATCGAGAAGTGTGGGAGTTTTTTGGTGGTGGGCGTTGGCAACGGTGGTCGAAAGTCGGGCCTGCTATGGTGCGGTGGGGAGTTTCGGACTGGTTGTGGGGGGCTTGGGGTTGGCAGCGGTGATCGGGAAGGGAAGGGGCCGGTTCTGGTGGTGGGGATGGGGACCGGAGTTGTGTTGTGGTGGTGGGATTGGGTGAAGCAGTGGTGGTGTTAGGGGAAAGTAGAGAGAAAAGAAAAAATAAATATATTTTTTTATTTAAGCCAATCATATAGCGACACGTGGCATTGTTAACTTGTTTATCAGGTTGCATCCGGTTTTGTCTTGTTTAAAGTTAAGACCTTCCAAAGGTTGTAATATTCAAGTATAATCCAAAGGTTGTATTATTTAAAAAGAAAAAAACGGGCCAAAGGTTGTATTATTAATGACAATTTTTCCATTAATTAATTATTGAATTTTCGAACTGATTATGATTTTCGATTTTATCATTATATATATATATATAAAAAATTATGATAATTATTAGGTTATGGTTGCCAAATATTTGATGTATTTAATCATATTTTTAGTTATTATTTTACCTAATGATAAATTCTTGTATTTTCCTAATTAATTTCCTAAATTAAAAACCAGTGTAAATCCTATATCTTTTCACACTTAAATTCATCACAAACTTTCATATGTGGCTTGCCACACGGTGTTATTTTATTATTCAACACCACGTTCTCTCTCTTCTCTTCTCCTCTTTTCTTCTATTCTTCGATTAATTCCCTAGATTTCCCCTTTTTAATTTTTAGGGTTCCATCTTCTTCTTTTCTTCAATTAATTCCCCAGTTACTGCTACAAAATTGTCCAAAAGAATCACTAAAAAGAAACCCCTTTATCAAATAAGGGGTTTCTTAATGAAAGAAATCTATTTTCTCATATAAGGGGTCTCTTATACATGAATATAAGAAACTCCCTCCAAAGAAAAATGATTTCTTATTTATTTCTACAAATTTACTACTGTTTAAGGAACCACTTTTAATGAAAAGGGTTTCTTATATTATTTAAATATTTTTTTTGTTTCTTAGTAAATCAAACTTTAGTACTCGTACTAAATTTATTAAAAAAAAACAAAAAAACCTTTAGGAAGTAAATAAATTCGGATCCCCCACCTAACTAACCCTAACTATTCTTCATTTCTCTTAGATCAGTCGCCCCATTCTCTTCTTTTCTTCTTTTTCTTCCATTGAAGCCTCCCTACATAAACACTACATTTATTATCTTTTTCCTCCATTGAGGCCTCCTCTTTCTTAGCTTTCTATTCAAGCGCGCAGATGTTGAGCATTCTTTTATCGATCTATTAAGGGAGCATGCAATTAACGGTAAGAGTAATCAATTATTATTATTATGAATCATTTTTTAACCAATTTTTTTCCTTTAATTTTGTTTTTAATCATCATTTCATACAAATCTTACTTTTGAATTTCTTTTTGATCAGTTATTTTATTTTCGTTCACATTTTTTTTAAAGATCTGGTTCAAAATATGATTTTCAACAAAAAAAATTATCTATCTGTTCATATATTTCTTAATTTTTTAGATCTCCTTTTTTCAGTTTCTTATACGATATATATTTTTTTTTCCGGTTATATTTTAGTTATTTTTATAGCGTTTTCAATCAAACTTGTTTAAGATTTGATCGGTTCATGATTTGAAATGTTTATTTTCATTTTTTTATAAGATTTTTACATATTTTCGGATTTAGATTTGATATTCATTTTTGGTTTAACATGATGTAATTTTGTTTTTGACCCACAATTGTTAGTATTGAGTCTATTTTTTTTTTTTTGAAACTGTTCATACTACTCTGCATATTTTGTTTTTTATTATATTCCTTTCCAAAAAAATTTGGATATTTTTTAATTAATTTTAAGTTCGGCTTTTTAAAAATTGTTTTATTTGTTGTAACCTTTGATTTGTGAATTAGGTTAATTTTGTGTGCTTTGTAGGTACAAATCAATATTCAACAATTGAATTTAAAGAATCTAACAACATGATGGAAGTATATCAATTTTTGTATGGAGAAAATCGTCATTTGTTTAGTGGTTTTAGATAATTAGTTATTGTAAAAGTTTTTTATTATGTATGTAATTTTATATGGCAATAATATTAAGTATAATTTTTTTTTTTGAGCTTGTAGTATTAATTATGTGGGATTTGTAACTGTATTAATCTACGAAAGGCATGAAATAGAATTATTGTATATGATTGTTGTATAGCTATCATATTCATATATACGAAGTAGTACATATTTGACAGTTATATTGCAGTATATAATTTTTTTTTTTAATTTCGAACATATCTAAGAGACTCCCTGTTTAGAAAGTAGTCTCTTTTGTACTCCCTCTGTCCCATAATATAGTTCATAATGTGTTTTTTTTTTCACAGTATTTAAGAAATGGGAGAAGAAGCGGTAAAAGTACATTAAAAGTGGAAAAAAGCTAGACAAAAGTACAAGACAAGTGGATAATTTAAGAGGAAAAAAAGTGAAAAGTACAATTATACAAAAGTTAGATAGAGAAAGTGGAAAAAAGTTCAATGAATAAAGTTAAAAAAAAAGAGGGTATAATGATCTTTACATACTATCCAAAAATAGAAACATGAACAACATTTTGAGTCTCCAAAATAGGAAAACAGAAATTATATTGTGGGACGGAGGGATGTAATATACGAAACCCCTCTTTACAAAAAACGGTTTCTTTAATGAATCAAAGAAACCCCTGAAAAAAAAGGGTTCCTTTAATGCTTTGAAATATTAGTTCAGATGTATTTAAGAAACCCCTTCTGTCAAAGAGGGGTTTCTTAAGTTGAGCAAACAAACCCTCTATAAAAGGTGGTTTCTTAACTTAAGAGACCACTAAGCTTAAGACCCCCGGCCTCTAAAGTGGTTTCTTAGGCCAATTTTCCAGATTCTCTCTCCTCTTTCTCTCTCCTCTTTTCTTTTGTCCTTCAATTAATCCTCCAATTTCCAGATTTTTTTAGGATTCGTAGCAGCCATCGCAGCGTGGAGGTGTAGAAGAAGAGGAGGAAGTAGATGGAGTTGTGGTGTCGCGGCTAATGAATTGCGGTGTGATTGGTGGCGATTGGTGAATTGCGATGGCTAAACTGGTTGTGTTGGTGGATGGTGGCTGGTCGTGTTGGTGGCTGGAGGTGGGCGGCTGGTCGTGATGGTGGCTGGAGGCGCGCGGCTGGTCTTGGGGAGAATGTTAATTGTTGTGGTGGTTGGAATTGGTGGTTTGGTGGCTGCTTACGGTGGAATTGGTGGTTAGGTTAAGGGTTACTAGGTCGGTCAGGGGTTACTAGGTTGGTCAAGGGTTACTAGGTCTGGAGTTACTAGTCGTTTAGGGGTTACATGGTCAGGGGTTACTTGGTCGGTCAAGGGTTACTAGGTCGGAGGGGTTACTTGGTCAGGGGTTACTAGGTCGGTCAAGGGTTAATTGCTCAGGGATTACTACTTACTAGGTTAGTAAGGGATTACTTTGTCGGGAGTTACTTGTGTATAAGTTGGCCACACCGTGTGGCCAACCACACACAAAACCTGCTGTAATTCATTCCTTTTCACACTTTAAGTTCTATCTTTTCACACCTTAAATTATTAAATGATAAACTTTTTTATTTTCCTAATTATCTTTGTAGAAATAAAAAAAATATATCAATAATAATCTTATTTCTTTTCACACACTAAATTCTATCTTTTGTTATTCATAAAACCCTAATTCCATACACCATAAACACTATAAATACCCCTCACCTCTCATTTTCTTCACACCAAAACCCAATTCTCTTCTTTTCTCTTAACTTTCTTTTCCCTAAACCTTTTCCTATTTTCTAAACCTTTTTGTAGGATAATTAACCTGTATAATTTAAATCCATTTTTCAGGCACTTCTGCTCATTTTTAGAATTTTACTATTTCACATAAAGTTGTTCCTATCAAAAAATCCTTGAGTTTAGGCACAAAAATAACCCTATTCGCAGTTATATTCTAGAAGTTATGGCCTCTACAAGTTCTGCCTATCTTTTCTAACGCGAATCCAATCTTTTAATCCTATTCCTTTAATTCTTCCATGGTTAGTTTTCTAAAATATATATTTCCTTTCAAAGTTATAACTTTATAAAGTTTTAATCTTTAAATTTTATTTAAAACATAATTATAATGTTTGTTTAGGAGATCGTTTGTGATTGTAAGTGGTGGGATAATAATTCTTGAAGGATGAGGTATGTATAGATGGCTGGACCTTTGATAAAGGTTTTTCTATATATGTATATTTTTGAATAATTTTTGTTTGATTGTTTGAATAAATTGTTTAAAGGATTGATTTTGAAATCATGTTTGAATTAAATTAAATTTATTTATTATAAAGGAATTGAATTAAATTTGCAGCTCATTATGGGCTTGAGTATTAATATTTGTTGTCCCTCTACCCGGGAGTGGTTAAGTATGACCATGAACTTTGTATGATCTGGTCTTTCCTCGAGTATAGTTTAACTTGCTTGGGGGGTGTGCACACTTAGGTGAGGAAAATTGATTTTGGAATTATGTCATAAATTGGAAAGTTTATAAATTGGAAATTAAATCTATTTGTTTGGAAAGTTTTTATTGATAGACATTACTACATATGGAAGGATTAATTTTGTTTTTTTATCACAATAAACAATAGTGGCCTGCCAGAGAAGACATTGTAACTCTAAAAGAAGATTACAAAGCCAACATGCCTTGGAGACAACGTTTGTGACGCCTCTATATTCTGCCTCTGCACTTGATTTAGAAAGAGTAGGTTGACGCTTAGAAGACCAGGAAATGAGATTTTCCCCTAGAAAGAAACAAAAACCCGAGGTTGACTGACGAGTGTCTGGACACCCTTCCCAATCTGCATCAATATAGGTGATCAAGTTCACAGATGATGAAGGATATAAATGTAACCCGTGATCAATGGAGCCCTAAATGTAATGCAGGATGCGTTTCAATGCATCATAATGAGCCTCTCTGGGGTCATGCATGAATAAACAAACTTGATGAACTGCATATGCTATATCAGGGCGAGTAAAAGTGAGGTATTGTAGTGCACCTGCAAGACTACGATAAAGTGTTGGATCATGACATTTAGGCCCTGTCTCTACACTTAGCTTGGATTAGGTATCCACAAGAGTCGCCGTAGGTTTACAACTGGCCATACCTGCACGCTCTAAGATTTCCTATGCATATTTCTGCTGTGATGAAAACAGATATGATGGAGTACGTGTAACAACAATGCCCAGAAAAAAATTCAGAGGACCTAAATCAGTCATAGGAAGTCGTGTACGTAAGTGAGAGATGATGCGCTCACGTAACAAATCTGAGGATGTAACCAACACAATATCGTCATCATATAATTGTAAATATGCCATATCATTCCCGTGACGGAAAATGAATAAAGAATTGTCATTCTTAGCAATGACAAACCCCATCTGCAAAAAATAGTTAGCAAAACGCTGATACCAAGCCCTGGGAGCTTGTTTTAGACCATATAGAGCCTTACGGAGCCTGCAAACATAGCCTGGGAATCTCTTGTCAACAAACCCAGGGAGTTGATGCATATATACGCACTCATTCAAATCACCATGTAAAAATGCATTTTAACATCAAGCTGGTGAATAGACCACTTACGAGTCATAGCCAAACTCAACATCGTGCGAATTGTAGCCGATTTCACAACCGGACTGAAAGTTTCGTCTCCATCCACACCTTCAACCTGAGGTTTTCCATCACAAACAAGACGAGCTTTGTGTCATTCTAGATCACCATCAGGATTGAATTTATGACGAAAAAGCCACTTGCAATTAACAATATTCACCCCCGTAGGCCTAGGAACCAATTTCCACGTCTTCGTTTCAATTAAAGCACTATATTAATCACGCATCGCATCATTCCAATTTGGATGGGAAAGGGCTTGTCTGTGAATATTAGGAAGTGGGGATCGGGTTATGGGGAGACTCGGGGTGGTGATGGCTAGACCGAATTTTGGGTTCGGTTTATAAATGTTGTGTTTGGAATGAGTTTGCATTAGTGGAGAGGGAGGTGAAGGACGAGCGGGTGAGATGGGTGTGGAACCACGAAGTGGGAGGTGTGTATGCATTAGGGTTAGATTGAGGGAAGGTGGCAGAATGGGGTTGTAAGGGTGCGGTGTCCAAGACAGCACCCATCGGGCTTTTAGACACCTTATTATGTCTCCCAAAAAACCAAACCCAGTAATAAGTACCTTTCATGTCTTTGATTATTGAGTTAGGTGAAGAGTTGAAGAGTCTCATGAATTTCCCTTTAGCCTTGACCATATTTCTAACCTTTTATTAAATGTTTTAGACACAAAACCATTCATTTAATGTCTTTAAATCCAAAATAGTTCATTTTGTGTCTTTGAAAATCATTCATTTCATGTCCAATTTATAAAAACTTCCAAACCTGAATTTTTTGGTCCAATAAATGAGTAGTTATATGGGGCTTGAAAAGAGCTTTCCAACGATATATTATAAGTCAAAATCCGAGTAGTAACGAGGAAGTTATGGCCAAAATACTAAATCGAGCCCAAACCGAACCTTACCTACGACCTAATGACCATGTGGAGGGTCCATTAACCTTAAACATTATTCCTAAAACCCTTAGGATTTATTATTAGCTTCTAGAATCCTCTAAAAAGTTCTAATTTATCCTTTTTTTTAAAAAGATTAAATTTAAGAATTTTAATTCGGATAAAACACTTGTTTTTCAATAGGTTTAATTCTGATAAAACTAGAAAACGTACGGAAAAACGATTAGCCCAAGTTGATTGGAAGTTGGATTCCGTACAGATTCTATCTTTCAAAAATATCGCTGGACGATGCTTATATCGCGGCGTGATACAAATATCACGCAGCGATATAAGTATCGCGCTGCGATATAGCTGGCTTTTCGCGATACGGTCTGTTTTACTCCGAGTCGAATTTTGACTCTTTATGATCTTTTCTCTCGTTTTCCCCTATAGATAGAGGTCTTTTTACCCCATTTCAATCATCAACAAGCTTGATCACCAACAATCATCATCTTAATCCCTCTCTAAGCTATAAGCTTCACTCTCTCTCTTTCTAAGCCTTAGCCTAAACATATTACACACTATACGTCCTTTGCGAGACTTGAATACTCCAAGATCTTCTCATAGTTACCTTTGACCTCGACGTAAAAGGTTGATATTTCTGAAGGTTTGGTCCCTAATCTATATTTCAATTCTTATTTGACTTATGTGATTTTATT